TGAATCATATGTCTGAGTGGCCGAGTTCCCGCTAAGCTGGGAGAGTGCACAGATGTGCAGGACAGAAATTCCATCTCACACAGCAACTATTCCTCGTGGAGGTCTGGAAGGTAACAGCCCGGCCCTTGTCAATGTCCCTGCCTGGACGGCTGTCAGTGCAGTCCCATTTCCCTACCTCCTCACCCTTCCGTCGTCGTCTCCCAGCCTCTACCTTTTTTCTAACTCCCCTCTCGTCAAAAGAAAGAGAATCTGACAATTGTCATTTGCATTTGTTGACTGATAGGTTATACTTTAGCAGATGACCTAATATCTTAACCAGTTGTTTGCATTTTAAAACTCCCATCTTCCGGTTGTGGAAGGAAAAAACTCTTCTAAAGGAATTTCTGGCATCAGCCAGCAGGTGCAGTAATGTTTGTGTCAAGGGGAGAGCGGGATGAGTCCTGAAAGTAACTCTGATTTAGACCTCCTGGGACCTGGGGGGAGAGGGCTCAGAGGAGCAGTGCTGGGCCACTCCCCAAGTGGGCTCCCTACTCCCCTGGGAAGACACCTGGGGCTGATCTGGTTCCAGCTGCAGGAGCTGCGGAAAAGGGCTGGGGGTGGGGAGAATGAGGCATCTTTTGTCCTCCAGCATCTAGAGCAGTGGTTCTCAACCTTCCTAGTGCCGCGACCCTTTAATACAGTTCCTCATGTTGTGGTGACCCCCAACCATAAAATTATTTTCGTTGCTACTTCATAACTGTCATTTTGCTACTGTTATGAATCGTAATGTAAATATCTGATATGCAGGACGTATTTTCATTGTTACAAATTGAACATAATTAAAGCATAGTGATTAATCACAAAAACAATATGTAATTATATATGTGTTTGCCGATGGTCTTAGGCGACCCCTGTGAAAGGGTCGTTCGCCCCCCAAAGGGGTTGCGACCCACAGGTTGAGAACTGCTGATCTAGAGCCTTTCCAGGGCAGGTACCCGCCCCTATCACCTTTCCTTGCCCCCCTTCTTTTGCATGAACCCCTTTCCTGAGCGGTTTCAGGACCCCATTTGTGTTTTCTGCATGGTGTTTTTTGCGTGGTCCTTCTTTAGGTGGCGTTCAGTGAGATTTTCAAACTACAGACCCACCAGCCAACCTCTGCTGCCCACATGAGGACCAGACAACCTCGAGGCCTACCCAACACCCCTCTGCTGAGGAGCTGATGGACTCTAGTCACTGCCCTGAAAATTAAATCACTGAATACCAACCAATCTGCCAACTTCTCTGAGTTGGTGAAAATTTTTTCCAAATTTCTGGGGTTTTGCCTCCCCTGCCAATTTAAATACAAAGGGTCAGATTTCCCTTAAATGCAATCTCCTGCTTTCCTTATTTGTGCAGACTTACATGTGCTCCAGCTCCAGAGGTTATCACAAGAATACCCTCAACTGGGGCAAGGACAGGCATCACAGCCACTCCGCAAGTGGGGACAGAGGTGCTGCAGGGGCAGGACCCAGAGTGGGGGCAGGGCTAGGGCTGGGCAAACTAAAACTCAGAAAAATACTCAGTGAGTTATTAATAGCGATTATGCAGGGGTTGGGATTTTATCTTTCTAACAGGTGAATTTTTCTTTCTTCCCCACACATTTGGGTATTACTATAATTGTTCGCAATGATTTACTTTTATGGTGAGCAAACGTAATCCTGGCGGCCCCCTTGATCCATGAAAACATATATTAGAGCCAAGCAATGTTAAAAGGGTGGCTTCGTTCTCAGAACTTTATAATCATTAACAGTCACAAAAATTCCCTCCCTTTTGTCATCCTTAACAATATATTTCCAGTGTTCCATACATATTCTGTTTTTTCCTTCACATTTCATCTCTGACTAGCCGAAAATCTGATGAGCGAAAATGTGTCCCTTCCAGCATGCCTGCTGAATGCCCTCCTGGTCCTAATCCCATTACTTCATGAGACACCCCCTTCTGTCACTGTCATTGTGTCAGAAGGGTCACACTTTTGCCCTGGCCGGTTTGGCTCAGTGGATAGAGCGTCAGCCTGTTCAATCCGGTTCAAGTGTGTCTCTCTCACATTGATGTTTCTCTCTCTGTGTCTCCCCCTCCCTTCTACTCTCTGAAATGGAAAAATATCCTCGGGTGAGGATTAACAACAACAAAAAGTGTCACACTTTTGTGTGTCTACTTCCCATTGTTTTCATAAAGACTAAGGGTGAAATGCAATAAAACAGTTGTCTGAAACTTTTTAGAAAGCCACCGACTCTTCTTTCTGAGAAGTGCAGCAGCCAACGTGGAAGTTGAGTGGGGGGCCCTGGACTCACCACTCCCAACAAGCACCTGGGCTGTTCCACTCTCCACAGCCCCCATTCTCCTGCTGCCTGGAGGCCCTTTCACGTGTCTGAGGGTCTGAGGCAGAGTTTGAAAATAACCACTCATTGCCGTAATCTACCCAAATACCTACACAGACACTGCTCCAGGTGACGGGCCCAAAGCAAACTGGTGGCTGCCGGCTGCCAGCAGTACCACCATGTCACAGCCCCCATGGCTGTCCCTCACCAGACACCAAAATTTGGATGTGACAAATAAAAGATGGCACAGGGGTGTCACCGCAGAACGCACAAAATGGAGGACTGCATGGGAAGGACACCTCAAAAAACGGGTGTATCAGAACCACCCCCTCTCTCCTCTGGCAGCCAGCGCCCCTGTGTATTACCTTCCCTCTCTTTCCCAGGAGAAGCTCAGAGGCCCAGTCCAACCCTCTACCACATAGAAGGCTTGACTGACCCAGTTTTAAATCTTACCAGCACCTGATCTGAGACACTAAAATCCTCTGCCCAGGATGGGCTCTCCTTGGGTTTTGTTACGGTTTTAGGGTTGCTTTTGGTTTTTTAGGAAGGCAAAGGCCTCTCTGAGGTGATGCAGTTGCCTAAAGGTGAATGGATGGGTGCCTTCTTGAGGTCTCTGCAAGTCAGGGCTTCCAAGTTGTCTGAGGTGTGGTTCCCATCTGCCCAGGGCTGGACCCCAGGATCTGGGCACAGGTCAGCTCTGGTTAGAATGCAGGCCTGTGAGGGGAAAGGTGTTTCAAGGACTGTGGTCTAAGAAGAACAATGGTCTGCCTGGATCCATTAGCTGTTTGTTAGGTCGAAAGGGGGTCCAGGAGCTGGTGCATGCCTCCGCCAGGCAGATGGTGACATAGATACTGGGCCCTTCCTAGAATCCGTAACAGGCCAGTGCACCAGGTAACTGGTGACGCAGATACCGGTCCCGCCCTGGAATTCTTAACAGGTCAGCTACCAGACAGATGACGACACCTGGAAACTTTGACGACCCCCGAGGCAGGAACTCCCACAGCTCATGCTCCCCCGCCGTCACTGAACAGCTGTATAAAAAAATGCCCCTACTCCCTCTCGGCGTGACTCTACTGGCCCAACCCCAGGACCTGTGGACCTCGCCCGAGAGCGCAGAATAAATTCTCCTCCTTCCATCTGCCTGACTCTCTGACTCAGTTTCCTGTGCCGCGAACCTCACACTGTTCAATCCTTTGCTCAACTGACATCCACTGATGCTGCTCTGAGGGCTGGCTGGGTGCCTGGGGGCAGGATCCAGGAGCAAGGCCCTGCCTCTCGGAGCCCATGGAGCCACCCTGTGGATTCGCACTCTTCCTCTTGTCTTGTGAGTGTCAGTAGCAAACTCATGTTAAATCTAGGGATCAAAATTTCCTTTCTCAACCCTTCTTCCCACCAAACACCCTCATCAGTTTCTGGGCTAAATCCTCCATCACACCACACCTGGAGCTGTACTTGGTTCCCTGCATCTAGCCCCATGCCAATCCTGCTGCTTTTTCTTCCCTATCTGACCCTCTAATACCACTACTGACAGCCAGGGCTCTGGGCCAAGTTCAGTCTCTCCATCCTCATCATCTTCTCATCCCCAGCCTGGCCTCCCCATTCCGCCTGAGCACCCGGCAGACTATCACACCAAAGTTGAAACCCATTGCCACTCTCCTCCCCAGATTTCTCCCTGCCTTTTATTTCAAACCAGCTCCAGGAACCCTACCTCAGCTCGAGTGTCTTTGCAATGAATGTATGCCAAGCACTGAGCTGTGTGATTCACAAGCTCTGACTGGATCCTGTGAGGGAGATCTCTGTTTTACAGAAAGGAAATAGGGACTCGCGGAGGTTAAATCACTCAGCGAGTTAATAGCAGAACTGGAACTTGATGCTTCAATGGGCTAAGACCATAACTTCTCAAGCACAACACACCACGCCTGTCCCTAAATAAGAAGGCGCTGGTTTCCCCTTCCTACTACCCCACTAGGTCATAAAATTCCAGGCTCATTTCATCCCACATTGTTTATACAAAAGACAAGCCTGCAGGTGCGTGTATTTGACAGCTCTCGATCCTGATGCTCTTATTTCCCACAAGCCTGTGCGGTCTGTGGGAGTGCCCAGGTGCTGGTGGCAGGAAAGGGGAGAAAGGAACAAGGGGCCTTACTCCGTGCATCACTTAGATAAGCTCAGCCAAGAACTGGACTAGGGCTGATTCCAATCCACTCTGATCCAGAATTTCCCCAGAACTGGTCCAGAATGCACTTAGTTTCCAGGAAAGAAGATTAACCGGAAGTGTTTGCCTCATTTTAGATAAAGAAAATAGAGGCTGGTTATACTTTTCTCTCTTTGGAGCAACTTCAAACATGGAGTCAGCAAAAATGCCAGCCACGGGTAGACCAGTGGAAACCAAACTTGCACCTAAGTTCTGCTTCAGAGTGCCTTCGAGGCTCTAGTCCACCTCAAAGATAGGCCCAAGCTTCTCTGTGGAATCAGGCCTGCCAGCCAGCTGTTGTACCATCTGCTTCGTCTCAGGTCTCTTCCCGCTCCCCAAGGGTCCAAGCAAAGCTCCTGGAGCCAGAGTTCATCTCTCCACCCTCCTACTCTCAGCCCCTTGTCCATGGGGTCCCTGGCCATAAAGAAAGACCTTTACCTCAAAGATTGAAAAAGATGTTTTAATAAATACAAAAATCTTCAATAATGACTCTGCTCAGCTCAGGGGCAGCAGGAGTGAAGTGGTGGGGGGACCCTTGGTGCTGAGTGAGGATAAATTAAAAATCCCAACAAGCCAGTGACATTATGTACAGAAGGAAAGGGGTTAGGCTTCCAAGGCAGAGGCCAGAGGGTGACAGGCAGGAGTTGGAGTGGACATGGCCTGGGTCTGCCCTGACAGCCCCTCCCCCTTGTGGAGTTGTGGTCCCAGAGGTAGTGGGGGAGGGAGAAGAGGCGGAAAAGAGGAGCCAAAGGCACTGGGTTTCCCGCAGGAGGATGCAGGGTCCTCGGCGCCACTCCTTCTCCCAGCCCAGGCCCCGTCCTCTTGGTCATGGGCCTTCCCGCTGCTCCCTAGGAGCCCTGGGCTTCTTTCTTCAGCTCTGGCGCTGTCCTGGTCTCTGGGGCTGCTGAGGACAGAAGGGAGCGAACTTTGAGGAGGCACAGAGAGCCCAGCAAAGTATCCCTGTTCTGGTCCCAGAAAGGTCAGTATTTTCTAAGCAAGTCAGCACAGAACAGCTGCGTAACCTTAACCTGGTAGCCTAATTCCTCGAGCTTCAGAAATCTCATTTGTAAAGAAAGGACTCTGCCCAGCCAGCGTGGCTCAGTGGTTGAGCATCGACCTATGAACCAGGAGGTCCCGGTTCGATTCCCGGTTGGGGCATGTGCCCAGGTTGTGGGCTTGATCCCCAGTGTGGGGCATGCAGGAGGCAGCCAATCAATGATTCTCATTGATGTTTCTCTCTCTCTCTCCCTCTCCCTTCCTCTCTTTCTAAAAATCAATAAAAACATATTTTAAAAAAAATAAGTAAAAGACTACCAATAACAAGCCCACCAGGTCAACTGTGAGGGCAGAATGGAGTGGCAACTGTGAAGCAGAGGGCACTGTCCCTGGCACACAGCGGGTGCTCCTTCCCTCCTCAGCATCCCACCGTCAGCCCAGGGCTGCTGCCCCTGGGTCCCCTCACTTACACCGGCGGGACGTGCAGTGGGAGCAGCAGCGACTCTCCTTCCCTGAGCCGCAGGACAGTGGCAGCGAACAGTCATCTCGCTCACAGTGGGGCACCCCTGCCTGAGGCAGGACAGAGCAGATCCTGAGGGTCCCCAGAGGCACGGGGGCACAACAGCCTTCAGCCGCTTCAGGGAGGGCTGCCCCCAGGAGCCTGCCCTCCCTGGGAAGGTCCCCCTAGTCCAGGTGAGGCCTCCAATGCCCACCTCACACAAGCCCCCCAGGCCTCTCTTACCCCACACCTGCAGGTGATACAGCTCATCTCCCCAAAGGGGGGCACTGAGGGGTGCCAGCTCTGGCTCTCCGGAAACCACTGCCCTGCAAACCGGCAGCCCCGGGGCCCATCGGCCTGCATGGGGTCCCCCAGTTGGAGGTGGGTTCCTGACCCCACTGTTGGAAGGGAGAGAGGGAGATGAAGAGGAAGAGGTCAGTAGATCTGAGCGCTATGAAGGCCACCCAGGTTTTATTTGTCTTTGAATCTCCAGCACCTAGCAGTTTCTGGCCCTTAATAGGTGATAAATCTGGATGGATGGATGGATGGATGGATGGATGGATGGATGGATGGATGGATGGATGGATGGATGGATGGATGGATGGATGGATGGATGGATGGATGGATGGATGGATGGATGGATGGATGGATGGATGGATGGATGGATGGATGGATGGATGGATGGATGGATGGATGGATGGATGGATGGATGGATGGATGGATGGATGGATGGATGGATGGATGGATGGATGGATGGATGGATGGATGGATGGATGGATGGATGGATGGATGGATGGATGGATGGATGGATGGATGGATGGATGGATGGATGGATGGATGGATGGATGGATGGATGGATGGATGGATGGATGGATGGATGGATGGATGGATGGATGGATGGATGGATGGATGGATGGATGGATGGATGGATGGATGGATGGATGGATGGATGGATGGATGGATGGATGGATGGATGGATGGATGGATGGATGGATGGATGGATGGATGGATGGATGGATGGATGGATGGATGGATGGATGGATGGATGGATGGATGGATGGATGGATGGATGGATGGATGGATGGAT